GAGACTCTGAGGTACCGTTTCTCTCATTTTTGGCCATCTCCGGTTCTAATCTCCCCTCTGCCCACCGCTTGCTGTCGGCTCAGGCCGATGGGACTCTTACCTTGCTGTAATGCCTGGACCACCTTCCCCCGAAGCTCCATGGCAGAAGCTCGGTGGCCTGGTTCTTTCCTCAGCCCCTCTTGGATGGCCTGGGCTGTGAGGGGTGCACAGGAAGGTGGAATCTCCCTCACAGGTGGAGGCTCACTGGCAATCTAGAGGCCAAAATGCAACATGCAAGACCGTTAGCAGTCTTATTCTTTACTCTCTAGCTGTCCTATGCTAGCTTGGGGATCTACCCCAAGAAAGGAGAGGGAGGGCTGGGCCTCAGTCAGGGGGAGAAGCTCTCTAGGAAAGGGAAACATGGATCCAAATAGGGCAGCCAGAGCCTGGTAGAGGTAGCCCAGGGGACAGGCAGAAGACAGCTCCCACTGTTCACATCTGGGGCCACCGCTGACCTTGAGACAGAGCGGGCCTCGGAAGTACTGAGTCCAGGGGTGGCAGCCGTTGAGCATGTGGAGCATCATACAGCAACTGCTCCAGACGTCCACCTTGGCGTCACAGGGCTTCCCCATCACCACTTCTGGGGCCATGTGGGTCTCTGTACCAGGGATGTAGTCCCCTGAGGAAGCCCCACCAGAGACAGTCACCACATATGAATTCAGTGCCCACAATACTTACTTCCTGGGTTACCCCAGGTGAAGGGCTTTAAATGAAAAGCAATTACATTATTATTCTGTGGATGTATGCTATGATTTACCTGTGGAGGTCAAAGAACAACTTTGTGGAGTTGGTTCTCTCCTTCCACCTTTACATAGGTTCTGGGGATCAAACTCAGGTCACCAGACTCACGGCAAGTGTCTTTACCCCCTGAGCCATCTCACTGGACCATTTTGTGTGTGTGTGTGTGTATGTGTGTGTGTTTCTTTGTTGTTTGTTTTATTTTGAGACAGGGTGTCTGTACATAGTCCTGGAACTCACTCTGTAGACCAGGCTGGCCTTGAACTCACAGAGATCCGCCTGCCTCCGCCTTCCAAGTGCTGGGATTAAAGATGTGGCCCACTATGCCTAGCTTTTTTTTTTTTTTTTGAAACAGAGTCTCATTCTATAGCCCAGGATGGTCTTGAACTCACAGCAGTCCTCAACTTTAGCCTCCCAAGTATTAGGACGTCAGGCATGAGCCACCATGTTTACCTTGGCTGCATTTATTTCATACAATTAATGGTTTAGGAATGTCACAGCAACTACACACATACAAACACAAAATAAAAACCACATGCTAAATAAACAAACAAAACTCTAACCTACTCTACAACAAAACTCAGGAAATTGATATGCACAAAAGTATGTAATTATTAAACAGGCAAATAAAAGCCAATATATAAAATTAAGTGGATGTCAACTTTTTTCCTTCCAGTTTTTGAGATTGAATCCAGGGCCTTATGCATGTTTGGCAGGCACTTTACAACTGAGTGATAGCCTAGCCCTTTCTTCACTATTTTAAGACAGGGTCTCACTAAGTTCTCAAAGCTGGCCTTGAACTTGAAATTCTCCTGCCTTAGCCTCCCAGGTAGCTGGGATTACAGGATTGGCTAACAGTGTTTTATTATTGTTGTTATTTTAGACAGGATCTTACTATGTAGACATGGCTGTTCTGAAACTCACTTTGCAGACCAGGCTGACTTTGAACTCAGAGAGATCTGCCTGCCTCTGCCTCCCGAGTGCTGGGACTAAAAGTGTGTGCCACCATTGCCTGACCTAACAGTATTTGTATACTGGACTTAGAACTTGACATTTTTGCTCAGTATTCTTAAAAAACAGTAGAGAGGGTATTATTTTTGTAATGAATTATCAAAAGGATCACTAATACCATTTTAAGGTAAATGTTTAATTTGGACCACAAGATTCACCCACACAGTCCTTTAACATCACACTGCCCATGCTGGACACAGGCTGAGTGTCCTTATGCAAAACAAGAGGGCAGAAGCATTCTGGTTTTTTTTTTAATCTAGGAATATTTCCAATATACAAGGGGAATGCAGTTTTGGAGATGGGACCCAAGCCTGTGTATGACAATGCTGTGGGCTATAGGCCATCTCCACATGATTCTGTCACTGTGCCGGAGTCTGCCTACCACCCCAACTTCAGTGGAGTTTCGAATAGGGATGCTCAGACGTCTAATAGACTATTTCCCTCTGACCAAAACTGACCCATCTGGGGGCTGGGAGACAGCTCAGCAGAGCAGAGTTGCTCTTTCAGAGGATCAAGTTCTGCTCCCAGAACCCACTCAGTGTCTTACAACTGCCCAGAACCTCAGCTCCAGGGGAGTCAGTGCCCTCTTCTGGCCTTCAAGGACACCTGAATACATATTTGCATAAACACATTAAAAACCAAAAAAATACAGAACCTTTTTTTAAAATGAACCACTCTATATTCAATACTCTTAAGTGGAAAAAGCAGGTTTCAGAATTGAATTATAATGGTTTTAAGGAGGCATGGAAAAAATGTAAGGAATTATGTAAATTATTCATGATTTTCTCTTTGGGGAAGAGGAATAGGTAAAAATGCTTCCTTTTCCTTCTTTTATAGCAGGTATTTCAATGGGCATAGATTATTTTTACAGCTAGATGGCAGGGTGTGAGGCATTGAACTATTCACAATGGCCAAGACATGGAACCACCATACCTGTCAATAGATGCATGAACAAGGAACACGTGGTGCATACACACAGTGGAGTTTTACAGAGCCAGAAAGAAGAAATTATATCATTGGCAGGAAAATGTATGGAACTGGAGAGTGTCATGTTAAGCAAAGTAAGTCAGACCCAGGAAGACGAGAATCACATGCTTACATCACAAACACACACACACACACACACACACACACACACACACACACACACGAAAATGTCATAATGATAATCGTATGTTAACACACAAGATAAAGACAGAAGCAGAGCACAGGCCTGAAACCCTAACATTCAGTAGGCCATGGCAGAAGAACTCTGCCCTTGCAGCCAGCCTGGACCACACAGCGAGACCATGTCTCAAAACAAAACAAAAAACAAAAGTCAATAATAAACCACACACACTGAAAGGAAGTAAAAAACATGGATCTTAGCTGGGCGTGGTGGCGCACGCCTTTAGTGCCAGCACTCAGAAGGCAGAGGCAGGCGGATCTCTGTGAATTTGAGGCCAGCTTGGTCTACATTATTGAGTTCTAGACCATTCAGGACTATCAAGCCTGGTCCTACGACAGGGTTTTTGGCCTTTAAGGCCTTGCTGTGTAAGGTCACATGGTCAAAGAGCATCTGACATCTATTACTGTATTGATGCACAACCAGGATCCCGAGTGACCCAGGGTGGTTGTGGGGCTGAATTCTACTTGGGGACCTAAGGTGACCACAGTGTTGATCCCCACAGTGGTACAAGGCTAATGTTGAGCGATGGCTACTGACTTTTGTGATCATGAGGTAGAGAACGGGGCCTTACCTGTGAGCAAGGATTTTCCTAGGCCATCAGGCTGTAGGCACAAGGCATGGCCAAAGTCGCAGAGGGCAGCTCGGCTGCCATCACTGGACAGGAGCACATTGTCAGCTGCCGGCAGCACCCAGCAAAAGGGAAGAGAGGAACAGCAAGTCACCTCAGGTTCCAGGCCCCAGCCTACCCTGGCCTGGCTTGACCTGGCCTCTCATCAGGCAACTTTCTGGCCAGTCCTCCATGGCAGCTGCTGCTTCTCATTAGTCTAGTTAGTCATGGAAAGCGGGGGTGGGGGTGGGGAGGTGGGGGGTTGTCAGCTGAGCTAGAGGCAGGCAGCAGGCAGGATCTGGAGTGGGGTCTACTCCCAGAGGTGGTCTCTCAGGCACCCTGCCCGCCCCCCAGGTCATCAGTGGGCAGGAGTGATTAGTCTTCGGTTTTCTTTGAACAACCCTGGAGACCACAGTGCTAGACTGAGGGCCTGGAGAACATCATCCCTTCCCGACTCAGCACAGCCCTGTGAGCTGATTCTGGCATCTACTCTGAAGGCGAGCAGGCAGGCTCACAACCAGGGAGAAATCAGGTAGAAAGGCATGACGAAGAGTCTGCCGGGACCAGGACCATGGTGGCCAGGCCTTACCTTTGACATCACCATGCAGAATCCTTCGGATATGGAGGTATTCCAGTCCCTCCAGAGCCTGGCCCAAGTAGTACAGGGCTCGGTCTTCCGGCAGACAGCCCTTCTGCTTTATGAGCTGGCCTAGTGAGCCACCTAGGAAACCAACAGCGAGTCTTTATGTGGGGCTTTCCCAGGCTCCACGAAAGCCCAGGGCAAGAGTGAAGGGCAGGTGGTGTTCGAGAGCAGGGTGTCAGGGCTAGGGGCACAACGTGGACCAGAGAACAAGGCCAAAGTTGGGGCTAACCGTTGGTCTTGCATTTTGAGAGAGAAAAGTATGACCCATCTCCTTACCTTCTAGTAGCTCCATGAAGATGTTGACCCAAGGGCCTTCTCGAACGGCTCCATAGAGAGGGACAATTCTGGGCGAGGTCAGTCCAGCACAGGCCATTAGTTCCTCTGCCCGAAACACCTCCAGCCGTACCTGAAAGATAGAGGCCTGGGAGTCAGGGAGAGGGTGCAGGCTGGGGTCTGCATCCTGCTGGTACCCTTGTTATTCTATGCACAGAGGCTAGTGATGCTCCTGGTATTGATGTCCAGGCCAAGTGGGACCAGGCAGGACTTCCAGGCCCTCAGGACTAAACTGTCTACCTATGTATAAACCCCTAGTGTCAAACACCGGTTCCATAGTGCTGATTATAAAGAACAGTCATACAAAAGCAAATTCTCCCAGGCTCCTGAAAGCTGGCCACCCTCAGTCTGTCAAACATTCTTTTCCCTCAGCTCAACTGTCTGGAGAATCTCTAGGCCATGAGGCCTTGATAATTCTCACATCCCACCCTCTGGTCCTGACAGACCATTATGTATCCTAGGTTGGATTTGAACTTGCAATTCTGTGAAGAGCTGCTGGATCAGTGGTTCTCAACCTATGGGTCACCTAAGACCACATGCATATCAGGTATTTATATTACAATTCATAACAGTAGCAAATTACAGTTAGGAAGTAGCAACAAAAATAATTTTATGGTTGGGGGTCACCACAACATAAGGAACTGTATTAAAGGATCACAGCCCTAGGAAGGTTGAGAACCACCACACTGTATCCTCATCATCCCTTGTAGCAATTTTGTTTTTTAACATTTTTAATTTCACGTGTGTGTGCCTGTGAGCCCACGTGCATGTATCTGTTCTACATGCATGTAGGAGCCTGGGGGAGCAGAAGAAGGTGCCAGATCCCCTGGAACTGGAGTCACAGGAGGTTGTGAGCTGCATGTGGGTTCTGGGAACCAAACTCAGGCCCTGGAAGAGCAGTCAGTGCTCTTCACTGCTGAGTCATCTCTCCAGCCCCCTTGCAGCAATTGTATGACAACTACCTGCTTTTATTTTTTTTTAATGTGTGTGTGGTCTGTGTATATTTGTAAAGGTCTGACACTGAGTGTCTACCTCCATGGTTTTCTACTTTATTGAGGCAAGGTTTCTGTTGAACCTGGAGCTCATTAACTCTGGCTAGTGTAGCTGTCCAGCTTGCCTGGGGAACTCCTGTCTCTGTCTCTGAGTTCTGGGATTATAGGCAGCCACCATGCCTGCCTGGCATTTATGAGGGTTCTGAACCCCAGTTCTCACGATGCATTTCATCCACTGAACTATCTCCCTAGCACCAGTTATTATTCAAAGGACTAAACTAGCCATGAACACAGGCCTGTGTTTATATTACTGATTGCTCTGTAGCTGTTTCCTAGTATCTGAGTGTACAGAGGCTTCTAGGGAGGGGCTGGCCAACGCCCCTTCTACTGTGATGTGGAAGTCTAGGGTCACCTACTCCTACCCATGGGGACCAGCAGCCTGGCATGGCCGGAAGCAGTCGGCAATGGACACAGCATCTGTGCTTAGATTCTGGTTGGGTCATTCACAAAAAGGTCACTTGCTTCCGTCAACTGAGTCTCAATATGGATGGTGGGGACAGGGCTGCCTGCTTCAGGGATGTATGAGGATTCAGAGAGATAGGGATTGTCCACTCTGATTGTCTATGCTTGGTGACGAGGGCACTTGGGCAGAGTTGGCTCCCCACTTCCTCTTGTCAACCCAAAGAGAAAAACTTACTAAACTCTTCCTATACTGATCTTGCTGGCTGCTGCTGGTCCTCTGCAGTGGCACCACCAGGGGGCGACAGCGGTAGCAGCCTAGTCTGCCCGGCTTTTGTTTCCAGACTTGCTGACTGGGCAAACAGGCACTTTGCCCATGTTGGGTTTTTGGGCTTCTGCCTATCAATGGGAAATGCCTCTCTTCTGGCTACTTAAAGAATACCCAGCTTGTTTAATCACCTCACATGAACTTTGGCTTTTGATCCGTGTTTCCTCTAAAAGGCTGGTGAACTTGACTGAAACTACTTCACCTACGATTTCCAATTACAACGTCCCTCCCCTGATCACTTCCACAATGTGCGGGGAAGCATCCTAGGGCTCCCCAGAGAACCTAGAAGGGTACCACCGGCTTCTGCACTGAAGGAAACAGGACGCTCAATGCCTGTGGGGCTCCTTGTAGGGATGGTTCAGGCCACACCGACCACACCCCTTTTGCTGTTAAGCCCACAAAATGAGGCATTTGGCGCTTGTGACATAACTTCAGGGGAGGGTGGGATGCAGAAAGGAGGTGAAGGTGGGATCGCCCACTTTGGTGTTTGGGAAACTGTAGAGTGCTCAAGAAGGCCTGCCCACTGTACCAACAGTAGCTCAGAGGGAGGCTGGGTGTGGCTGTGGGGCTCCCAAGTTTGAGGCCAGTCTCAACTATGTAAAAGTTTAGGACAACTTGGGCTGCTCGGTCTCAACAAACAGCCCCCTCAAAAAAAACAAAACACATTTTTATTTTTTCCAACTCATGTGACTTGTTTTCAATGGATGATTAGTTTTAGGACATACCTAACCATCTAATGGATGCAAACACAGCCAATAAAAAACAGTAAGTGGCACACGTCAAACAGCATGCCCTCCAAGAAGAGGACCGGAAGAGGAGGTCTGGCGACCACGAAGACCTGACCAGGAGGGAAGCTAAGGGCGGTGAGGCAGGCTGCTGAGGGGCCTGGACTCATTTCTAGAGCCGTGGTTCTCAGTCTTCCTAATGCTGTGCTGCCCCCTAAAAATATCCAATACTCAGATGGTCTTAGGTGGCCCCTGTGCAAGGGGCCTTCAACCCCCAAAGGGGCGACCCACAGGTTAAGAACCACTGCTCTAGAGAGGTCCAGCAGCGTTGAATCATTTCTAACACAGACCACAGCTGGTGAGATGGGAAAGCTCAGAAAACTGGTGTTTTATGGTTTGGGTGAGCCTGAAGAAGGTAAAAGGGTCACCCATGAAGTCAGGTGGGGAAACCTGCCCCCTCCCCCACGGCCAGACAACACCCAAACCACCTCTCCACTCTTAACTTCAGTGTTCTCATGCTCAAACAGAGTGCTGGGCTGTGAGGGGATGTCAGTGGGAACCAACATTTAAGATCCACTAACATACAGCAGGCACTGTTCAGCACTGAGTGTTTCTTACATGACAGTCTGTAAAGGGGTAGGCCATCAGTCCCATTTCACTGATGGGAAAGGTGAGGTTAGCACAAAGAACTCATCCAAAGTCACTGAGAACAGGGTCCACGGCCAAGATTTTGGTTGGGGAGGCCTGACCCTAGAACTGCCAGCTGCTGTATGGCTGGAAGAATTTTCCAGGCTCAGTCCTGACTTCTGAACATATTTACATGTACTCAGAAGCAGCATCTCCAGGGAGACATGCACACAGCATTGATGAATGCCAAGCGCGAAAGCCACTTCCGGCACCTCAGTGCCAGGGCGTCTGAGCCTGGCGACTCTTCCCTCCCTGAAACTCCTTATTTTCTTCAGCACACTAAATCTCTTTTTCTGCCAGTAAAAAGGGAGTACAAGGAACTCCACAAGTTCTGAAGATACCAGCGATATAAATTATGGGGCAGTGACTAACAGGACGGGGCACAAAGCTGCCTAAGAAACCAGCGGTCCCTATTTCCTCACCCTCCTCCAGACAGGCCCCCTTGACCCCTGCTCTTAAACAGGGTCATGTCTGATGCTGCTGCTTCATCAGTACACCATGTAAAGGCCTGGGTTTGTTAAAAACTAGTTTTGGGCCGGAAAGATGGCTCAGCAGGTGAAAATGCCAGCAGAGCAAGCCTGGTGATCTTGTCTCTGAAAGTCACATGACAGCCAATGTGGCACTGCACATCTGTGACACCAGCACTTCTTCAGTGATGGGGGAGAGCTGGCTGGAAGCTGGAGAGGCTGGGAATACAGCTAGTTCACCGGAACACACTTGGCTAGCAAGTGCAAGGCCCTGGTTCAATCCTGACAACACACACACACACACACACACACTGCATTCTGCCTTAAAGCGAAAGAGCGAAAGGACACACACACTGCATTCCGCCTTAAAGCGAAAGAGCGAAAGGAGAGAGCTGGCTCCCAGAAGCTGTGCACACGTGCTGTGGTACACTCACACACAGGTAAACCTTCAAAGCACCAGGCCCTTTGGGTCCCACAGCTGTCCCTGTCTCTGCAGTGTCTGGCACAGAGCAGGTGCTCCATGACAGCTGCTGTGACTTGGCCAGTGCCACACTATTCCATCAGTGACAGAGCCAAAGGGAGGCTCCCAGAATTCTATGGTTGGGCCAGATGTCTTAAAACAAACAGTTCTTCAGCCTTGTTGAGGGCAGATGGCAATTGAGAATCTGCTGAGTGGCATGGTCCCTTTGCCATCAAACTGTGACCATGCCCTCACACACAGTTTGGATCAAGTTCCAAGAATTTAAGTATCTTATAAGTCCACCCTCTGGCAGGGAGAACTTAAGAAGCCTGAGTGTTCTATGTGAACCAAGGAGAAATCCTGCCTAGGATGTACTCCATGGGGAGGGGGCTCACTACCACAGCCTGTCTTAAGTCAGTGTAGAATAATCTCTAGGATTGGATCTCATTTTCATAAACAGTCAAATTTATACATAAAGTGTCTAAAAAGATGACAGATGGCATTTTTTGAGGACAGGAGTGGGAAACAGGGAGACCTTTGATGTTATTTGGCTTCATTAACGGCATGGCGAGGCTGCATTTGTTCTCAAAAGATGAAAGGGTCTGGTGAGATGGCTCAGCAGGTGAAGGTGTTTGCCTCCTGCCAGCCCCAAGTTCCATCTACAGGGTGGAAGGAGAGAACTGACTATCCCAAGTTATTCTCTGAGTTCCACACCTGCCCCATGACATGTTGCCCCCACATATATACAAAAACATATCCTAAAAATGATGAATTAAAAACCCATAAAAGATTAACTTAAAACACACACCTCACATTACAGGCTGGATCTGTGGTCAATAAGCATGTGAACCAAGCCCACGGATGTTCTAGAAGGAAGACCAAGGGTTGCAGGTATTATGTGACCTCTCATGTTCAGGATTCTTCCCAGGAGCACTAAAAGGACACGGGTGGCCTGACCTTTGATTCCCAGACCATGTCTCCTGTCTCTACTCACCATGCCTTTGCCAGGGAACTCAGGGAACTTTTTGTATATGCAGTATCAGAATTTGAACCCAGGGCCTCTTATTTGCTAGGCAAATGCCCTAAAATGATCTATATTTCCCAGTTTCCCAGTTCAGGGGGCTTAGCCCCCACGTGATCTTAGAGCTGAAAACCGAGCAGAGCGAACTGCAAGCCCTAAGCCTTTCCACTGAGAGGAAAGACGGGCTGTTTGCCCAGCGCTAGCTGGAGGAAGGGGCAGGAGCTCCGAATGTGGACAACAGAGCCCTGGAAGTGCAGGCCTTCTGCCTGGAGCTTTCTCAACTGTCCTGGACACAGGACAGGAGAAATGTATTAAGGTTGTTTACTTTGTTGCCTGGGACTGAGAGGACCTCAGCAGAGGGACAGCTGAGAAGCCGGTGACTAAGCTCCCAGCGCTGGACATCCATCT